CCCATTTGATCTTTTTTTAAAAACAATATCATGGTTCCATATCTGCTAATGATTATTGACATGATTCAACAGTTCAAACAATTGTGACATTTGCAACATCGAAAATTTGATGAAAAATGGAAATCAAAACTGTATTCGTACATATATACTTATTCCTCTACCAAAGCCGGCTAATTCCATCGATACCAAATTGAAATAATTATACTAAATATTCCTCAATAAGATTACCAAAGTACCTGCTCAACTTCATGAACCTATTAATAAACGACAAAATCAAAATATATCTCTTCAGCATATTTATTGCTGAATTTATTTGTTATACCAGCCCATAGATGGCGGTACAACTACGTTGCTAAGAGTTACTAACAGCCGTCGGCCCAGCGCCAACAAATATGAACCTCAAACAACTTTACTGTTATCATCTTGCATCTTCCATTAGTTATTGGACCGCACCAACCTTATATTTTCGGATTCGGATTGTTACTTGATATCTGGAAATAGGTCGGCCATTTCCAGGATTTCAGATTGAAAATAATTCATACCGTGTCATCCATTACTGTCATCAAACAAAAAACATCCTATATGAAATTTTCTTTAAGATGTTCCATATCAAGTACCCTGAATGTATCTGGTACATCCCGTATCATCCCAGCAACATTCTGATGGGATGTTTATAAGACATCGCAAATGCTGACACGGGTGTTGCCAGCAACATCCCAAGAATGTCCCAAGGAAAATAGGGATTTTCCAGAGATGTTCCTATCATCCCATATGGATGTTTCTACGACGTCTTACAGATGTTATTGTGTTATTAGGGATGAGTCACCCTGTCAGCGCAACACACCCCAACTTCGAAATGTCAAATGGCACTACCTCTTTTGTGATATCTCAAATGAACGGTCTCAGTCAGTATAGTATTCACCTGTACAAGACTTTTTTTCCATCCACTACAGGGTGTACGAAAAACATTAATTCGTGGGTCTAAATTTGAAAACTTTCAATGCCAATATCTCGCTGAATAGAACAGTTAGGAAAACGCCGTTTGGCACAAATGCTACAGAGTTAGGGGGAACTAGAACCACCATACTCCAGTAAAGGGATGCGTCACCCCGTCGGCGCGCGACACACTCCATCTTTGAAATGTCAAATGGCACTACCTCTTTTGTGATACCTCAAATTAACGGTCTCAGTCAGTAGTATTCACAAGACTTATTTTCCACCCACTACAGGGTGAACGGAAAACATAAAGTCGAATAAAATAAAATGCAGAATGCCGATATATTCCAAGAGATGTGTTCCAAAATGTTAAAATGGCATTTAAACATCGATTATACTATTGCTTACAACAGAATGGAATGCATTTTGAACATCTGATCAAATAAAATATCCTTTTAACACAATTCATTTCATTTAATTCGACTTTATATTTTTCGTACACCCTGTAGTGGGTGAAAAAAAAGTCTTGTATAGGTGAATACTACTGACTGAGACTGTTCTTTTGAGGCATCACAAAAAAGGTAGTGCCATTTGACATTTCAAAGTTGGGGTGTGTCGCGCCGACGGGGTGACTCATCCCTTGACCGAAATATGGTGGTTCTACACCTTTTCCAGATGTATTTCAGAAAGCGTCAATTTAATTTCAGAATAGTCACTTGTATTTCAGAAAGCGTCAATTGTATTTCAGAATAGTCAATTCAATTTCAGAAAGCGTCAAATATATTTCAGAATAGTCACTTGCAGTTCAGAAAGCATCAATTGTATTTCAGAATAGTCAATTCAATTTCAGAAAGCGTTAATTGTATTTCAGAATAATCAATTCAATTTCAGAAAGCATCAATTGTATTTCAGAATAGTCAATTGAATTTCAGAAAGTGTCAATTGTATTTCAGAAAGTATCATTTGGATTTCGGAAAGCGTCAATTGAATTTCAGAAAGCATCAATTGTATTTCAGAATAGGCAATTGAATTTCAGAAATCGTTCTCTATAGACTGAAAGCCAGCGACCACCAGACATCATTTCAACAAGGTTGATATTTTCTATGTGTGTTATATCTTATTCGGTGGAATCGTTTTGGGGGTTAAAAATCTTCAGTACTGGATGGGCTTTCAAGAAATACCAGGTGTTGAAAGTACGGAAAAAAAAAATGGCAGAAACATCATTTCTACAAAAGCTGATCTTTTTATGTTCAATCGAATCCTATCATGACAGAGAATATACAAAGTATCATAGCAATAGAAATGAGTTTATCTCTGATGGTCCCCTATACCTGAAATTCTGTAATCTCTTCATCAAATAGTATATAGGTAGGTACCTATCTAAAAAAGGAATTTGGGGTGATTAAATTGAAAACATCACTACAGGAAGCACTGAACATCCTATGCATTCTTACATGGGATGCACTTTTTACTAACTAATCGATCTTAATGCTTTCTGAAATTCAATTGACGCTTTCTGAAATTCTGATGATATTTTCTGAAATACAAATGACGCTTTCTGAAATTCAATTGACTATTCTGAAATACAATTGACGCTTTCTGAAATACAAGTGACCATTCTGAAATACACTTGACCCTTTCTGAAATTAAACTGACTATTTTGAAATACAATTGATGCTTTCTGAAATTGAATTGACTATTCTGAAATACAATTGACGCTTTCTGAAATTGAATTGACTATTCTGAATTACAATTGACGCTTTCTGAAATACAATTGACTATTCTGAAATAAAATTGACGCGTTCTGAAATTGAATTGACGCTTTCTGAAATACATCATCTGGAAAAGGTGTAGTTCCCCTCAAATCTTGAGCATTTTTGCCAAACGGCGTTTTTCTAACTTTTTTCTTTCGCGAGATATTCGCATTGAAAGTTTTCAAATTTACGCCCTATAATATTCACATAGTGGGGCATTAGTGCGTCGGAGCTCGATTGCTCGAGTTCTATGATAACTGAAAACTTAATTCAACAACGAATTTCAATGAGACAAAAAATTGTTGGAAAAACAGCATTATAGGCGAGATTATAGGTCTCGTCCGGAGATATCAGAATCAGGCTGTAATAGTGAATGATTTGCAACAGAACCACATCCGAATGATGTGGATTTCGAGGTCTGTAAACAATTCAGTGTTATTGTTGAATGTGATAAATCCAATATCAGTTCAGTAGCCCATTATTAACGTGAAAATCAGAATCTCAGTTACAAGGTATCATCTGATGAAAATACATATAAAGGGTGTTGTGAAATCCGACCGACAACGCTTATTGACAGGTGATAGCCCTCGTGATTTCGTCATTACTGAGATAGGGACATACAGTCTCCAAGTGCTCAGTTCTCGAGATACAGGGCATCAAAATTAAGGAATGATAATATAGTTGTTTCGCAATATCTCAAGAAGAATTGAATATAATGCATTCAACTTCGGTATGTGGAACCTCTTTGAATGGGTCATTTTTTGACCAGGAAGCCGTTCCGGACATTTTATCCAGTGGTCACTGATTAAATTTCGATCATTTTCAATTCCTCGTATTCATTGTTCAATCTTGTTAGAAAAATGCATCACCTCCAACTGAGCTGGAATGAACAGTTCTCGAAATATTCGACCCAAAATAGAAGATTGCATAGTAATGTTTCATCATTTTCAGTAGTAGAAAATTGCAAAAATATTCTTCTGGTGTTGAGTAGATTATACCGGGTGGCTACGGGAGTATTGCCTACGGAATATCTCAGTTATTGTATGAAGTAGGTTTGTGAAATTTGGAGCGTCGATTTAATGACATAAGAGCTAGGATCTGAGCATATTGACATGTCGAAGTTAACTTCCGATCTGACGGGAAGTAACATCAACTTTATTATTTTGAATGGAAACCCTATTTTTTTTTCTTTTCGCTTTATTCAGCATTTAATTCCCTTTCTAATGACATATCACAAGTTGGTATCTAACCAGAAACTAGATCAGAAAAAAAAAATATTATTGAAATTCACCGAGTAGGCCGTGGAAGAAAAATGAAAGCCAAAAAATGACTTTCTATTATATCATTGAAAAGGAATGGTTATGCTGAATAGTACAGGCTAGAAAAAGTTGTATGTTCCTATTTAAGTTATTGACCTACAGAGTATTGTTTTTTTCCCAATGTTTCCAATATTTTTTTTGGCGGCTTTTTATAACGCCGACGAATGAAAATAAAATATCACAGTAGTAGCAACTGTTATCAAGTGACATATAGTTTCCATAGCCAACTTTTCAATTTTTGGCTTTCATTTTGCTTCCACGGCCTACTCGGTGAATTTCAATAATAATTTTTTTCTGATCTAGTTTCTGGTTAGATACCAACTTGTGATATGTCATTAAAAAGGGAATTGAATGCTGAATAGAGCGAAAAAAAAAAAATAGGGTTTCCATTTAAAATAAGAAAGATGATGTTACTTCCGGTCAGACCGGAAGTTAACTTTGACATGTCAATATGCTCAAATTCTAGCTCTTATGTCATTATATCGACGCTCCAAATTTCACAAACCTACTTCATACAGTAACTGAGATATTCCGTAGGCAATACTTCTGTAGCCACCCGGTATACTATTCATATCTCATTCTGTAGCTGAACAGAAATAGTTATTCCACCCATGAGGAAAAAACACAAATTTTTGTAATCTTGTACTACTGAGGAAGATGAAAAATTACTATGCAAACCATTATTTTGGGTCAAATATCTTGATAACTGTTTATTTTAGCTCAGTTGAAGGTGTTGCATTTTTTCAACATAATTGAATAATAAATTCGAGAAATTGGAGATAATCAAAATTTCATCAGTGGAGTAAAAAATCAATTTTTCTTGAGATATTGCGAGAAAACTATTTCAATTTCTCAACTTCAACGCCCTGTATCTCGAGAACTAAACACTTGAAGACCGTATGTCCCCATCTCAGTGATTATGAAATCATGAGGTCTATCACCTGTCAAGCGTTGTCGGTCGAATTCCGCAACACCCTGTATAAATCCTCACTTTCATTATGGAACCAGGTAAAACGAAAGATGATATCGCACTCAGAGTCGCCCGGAACTTAGTCAAATCTGTAGCCTCTTTTGCCACATGGAAGAACTCATTGTCTGGATTTTTCATGGAATCCACAGACACTCCGAATGCGACGCTGGCGATGACATCATTGGTGTATCTTGTCGTTGCATCCAGCACATTGAGTTCTATGGACATTCCGTTTTTGTTCTTGAAATGATTGACGACGTTTTCGGCACAGTCTGACATCAGCCCAAACATCATTTTGATTTTTCCAGAAGTGAAAGAAGGACTCATCAGCGGTCTCATGAATCTCCAATCTTCACCTACAAAATAATGATGATTTCAGTTTATTCACGAATAGGTCATGAACATTTGAATATTCCACATTCGTCCTCATTTTCGGAAAGAACTTGTTGACTACTATACAGGGTGTTCCATAAGTCGAGGATCAAAAGAAGTGGGGTGGTAGGGGGATGGGGGCATTTCAAATCAAAGTAACCGTATATGTGGATATCCAATTGATGTTTTTTCATTACTATAATAGTTATTTTTGTATCTAGAGCGCGAAATGCTACTTTGGTGATCGAGATCTGATTATTTCAACGAGGCGTAGCAGAGTTAAAAAAATAGTCGAGACGACCAAAGTATTTCGCGCTCGAGTTGAAAACACCATTTTTTCTACAAACCTCAAAAAATATAGTTTTGAAGTAAAACTTTGCTTAGCTTGATATAAAAAATTGTGTTGAACTGGCTTGACAGACCTCCCCCTAAGTACGCACGATGTTACACGAACATAATAGGAATTTCCTTTTGTGCGCTCCTAGAGATAAAACAAAGTTATTGTTGAACATTCAGAAATATATGATTTCGTGGATGTTTGCTCGATTGACCATATGAAATATAAATATCTCATATATTTTACATAACAAGGCGCGAAGTTGGTTCTTCGCGCACTGTTTTACTTCGCGCATTGTTTTGTGCAAGGTATCACGGTAATGTAGGTAACTGAAGAAAAGTGTCACTTTGCAATTAGTTATCGATGCGCGAACCCTGTCATTTTTTGACGTTTGTAGAAAAAAAGAATTGATTACAATTAAACTATGAGTACTATGACCCATTTGTGATTTTTTCTTTTATAAATTCCATCCACATGGATGCACTTTTCACCAGGAATAATTTTATGACATGTATTACTTTTTATCAATTACCTGGGACAAATGTTGTTTTCCTTGAGTTTTTCCATCGAATGAACTATTTAAGTCGATTTTTAATTGCCGCTGGCAGATTTAAAAACTACCCCACAAAAATTACCAATCATATGAGAAGTTTGCCCATTTATTACAGATTTCGAAATGCTATAACATATGAGGATGTTCAAAACAGCTTTTTCTGCTATTATTTTCTTTTTCGAATGGGTCGCATTTTACAAAAAAATGAATAACTTTTGAAACATATACAATTTGATAACTGTATCTCAGAATATGCACTGATTCTCTTAATTCTTATATGAAAGACGCAAAATCACGTGTCACTCTTACCTTATTTTTTATCCATAAATCCTGGATGGCTGCTTTGGCTAGACTTGGATACGAAGGGGCCCCTGTTGCTCTAATCACCTATCAGGGTTGTTATTCTCGAGGTACGAATCACTTAACTTGCGGGTCATGAATTTTATAACAGAAGGTTGCGGTTGATTTTGAATTTTATTCGGTACGCGGAGTTTTTAGCGGTGAGTACTACTCGAAACTAGGGCTGTGCGATATTGAAAACTGGATATCGATATCGATGTACGCTTTGGTATCGATATCTATCAATATATCGATATATCGATATGTATCGATATGTATCGATATATATCGATATTTATCGATATTTATCGATATATATCGATATGTATCGATATATATCGATATGTATCGATATGTATCGATATGTATCGATATGTATCGATATGTATCGATATATCGATATGTATCGATATATATCGATATATCTATATGTATCGATATATCGATATGTATCGATATATCGATATATATCGATATATCGATATGCAGGTCGATATATATCGATATAACAATATATGTACCTATTTATCGATATACACAATACACAGTGTACACCGTACACCTCAGGTGTACAGACAGAGTGTACACAGTACACTACACAAGTACACACACACTACACAGTCACACACAATCATGAGATAATGGAAAAAACCGAGCAAATACATTCATTGGAAGATTGAAAATACAATATTTGTTTAGAATGGCTAATATTGTGTTGAATACCTTGTCTGGATCTATGCAATTGTCTGAAATTTTCCCCATTCAACCGACTTTCCATCTCCTTTAGTTTCCGATATCCCAATACACTCCTCAACAATTTTGGACATACTGTATATCGATACATATCGATACATATCGATATATCGATACCTATCGATATATATCGATATATCGATACATATCGATATATATCGATTTATCGATATATCGATATTTTTTTTCTATGGTATCGTTATTCGATATATCGATATATATCGATATATATCGATATATCGATATTTTTTCGCAGCCCTACGAAACCCATTTCATACTGGTTTTTCTGTTCCTTATCATCCATACTCCACACATGCGCACCATAAGCACAGAGATCAACGTGATTTTATTAATGCGCGAAAATGACTGAACTGAATATCATCAGGACGACAGCTTCTTCTAACACTACATATTCTGATGTGGATTTGATTGAATATCTTAACTTAAATCAATAATTAAACTATAATAAACTACTACCTAAACTAATGTTAAACAATAACAATATAATAATATATATATATAATATTTCTTTATTGCTCCTTAAGAAATTACATTCTTATAGCAAGAAGTCTAATCTAGCACAAACTATACATAGTATAAAGAGCACCAATAAACGTCCATGGGTGCTCACGACTCTAAACAAATTGATAACAACATATACCATTAGTTTGATTACAAATGACCCGTCCTAACACCCCACTTCTTTCGATCCATTACTCATGGGACACCCTGTATAATAGAATTTTTTCATGAAAATCGGTCAACGGGTTCCAAATCGACACAATCCACACTCCTAACCTTTCTCATTTGAATTTCTCCCTTCTGATAATAAGGCATATTTTAAATTAAAAACTTTTATTCAACTTGCATTGTATGTTTGTATGGATGTATGGATGTATGTATGTTCGGGTGGAATCTTTGAACTCAATTTTGAAGTAGAAATCTTCAACCGATTGAGCTGAAATTTTGTATACACGTTCAGTTTGGATGACAATGCACGATAAGGTGTGTCACGTTATACTAAATCCAATATGGCGGACTATCCAAGATGGCGGAATAGCTATTTTTGATATACTTTTACAATATGGGTTTCAAATGCGAAGGTTCGTTGAGAGTAACTCGTAAAATGATAAGACGTCATTCTAAATCCAATATGGCGGACCATCCAAGATGGCGGAATGGTCATTTTTGATCTATTTCTACAATATGGGTATCAAATGAAAGGGCTCGTTGAGAGTAATTCGAAAAATGATGCGACGTTATTCTGAATCCAATATGGCAGACCATCCGAGATGGCGGAATAGCTATTTTTGATATACTTCTACAATATTGGTATCAAATGAAAAGGCTCGTTGAGAGTAACTCGAAAAATGATGTGACGTCATTCTGAATCCATTATGGCAGACCATCCAAGATGACGGAATGGTCATTTTCAATATACTTTTACAATATGGGTATCAAATGAAAACGCTCGTTGAGAGTGAATCGAAAAGGCCAGCTAGCAATAACTAAAAATTGAAAAGTAAATTGAAAGTAAAAAAAAACTCTTTAATAAAGAGCTTTTATTTGAACGCTCTAAAAAGTAGAAAATGAAATTTTTCTTAATGATTTCAACTATCAACTTATAACCTCATTATACACAATTTATATGATCATAAAAGCTTGTCGCGATGATCAATATTTTATTAAATTGTAATTCTTAAAATTTTATCTCAGCAAATTTCACATAATGAAATGAGTACTAGTTCATTCACACAAGTGAATCGCGCAACAAAATTTTTATGATCATATAAATTGTGTATAATGAGGTTATAAGTTGATAGTTAAAAATATTGAGAAAAATTTCATTTTCTACTTTTTAGAGCGTTTAAATGAAAGCTTTTATTGAAAAGTTTTTTTTTTACTTTCAATTCTATGATTGATTGATTGACTTGGTGCGAATGAATGGCGATTTGAATTTGGTCAGTTTGCTTAGATAGCGGTATTCGCGTACTCTACTATCTGGTTACTACCCTGATGAGGGCCTGAAGCCCGAAACCAGCGTAAAGCAGGCAACAATCTGAAGACAATAATCCACACAAACCTTTGCATATGGATTTTTGGAAAGAAATTGAATGTTCTGCGTGCCATTACACATCAGGAATGTATAGTTGTGATTTTCCGTCATCTACCTCTCATTGTACACTCGGGGAAATTACTTTGAGTTTGAGTATCCCGAGTCTCTATCAAATGATAATAATTTGAACTCACCTTTCAATTGTACCAGGTTTTTACCCCATAAAGGATCAGCTTCTACAGGGATGATATCACGGTGGTCCGCGAAATTATCGAAAGCCTTCACACAAATTTCCTTAATAAGGTCAGGATCCTTGACGACCAACAATGGCTTGACAAACATGTACATTCCAAAATACCTTGAAAAAATCACGGATGATTAATATATCTTATTACTCAATCAGCTGGACAGGTCGATTTCAATTTGGCGATGGACACATTTTTTTGCAATTATCATTTTCCAACGTTGAAATCTTGAAGCGTAACAGACATTAACCCTCGATTTTCAAATTGAGCCCCAGTATTTCATTGCATTTTAAGATTCGCCCTGAAGAGCTGCTCTCATCAATGTATCACACTTATTGGTGTCCAGCGGGAATGATTATAGAGATATAGGGTGTTCAAAATCGAGATTTTTCAACTTTAGGATTTTTTTGTGTCGATACTATTCATTATTGTTCAAATCGGCTTCCATGTCCCTTTCTGAACTTTCGGAATATGAAAAAGGTAGTTAAAAGTTTCAACATGGAATATGACCTAATATAAAATCTTAAAACATTAAACTAAATTGATACAGAGTAAGTATAAAATCACAATAATAAAAATATGTGTACTAATAGTGTATGAAGAAAGCAAAAGCGATATGAAAGTTATTGAAAATGGTTGTGATACATATCTAAAAATGACTTCATTGTGTTCATTATTGCAAAAGATCTCATCTCCCATTGAATGTCATATTTCAAGCATTGACAGCCCTGTCTGCTAGATGGTCATTAAGTACTTGAGAGAGAATTAGAGTGCCACAAGCCAAAAAAATATAAAATTCCACTGTTATCTGTTGAAGCAGTAAAAAAGTTGAGTGTATAACTCACACGGAATGCTAATAACCCACTTGTATGAGCCTACGGATCATGCTGCATGAAACTTCATTCTTGTGAGAAATGACTATCATTCCGTGTTCGTTGAACAATATTCTATGTACCCTTACCTTTTACCAGGAGCATTTTTGTATCCATTATCGATTGTGGTGATGAAACCTTCCAATCCCAAAATGTTACGTAAACTATCTCCAAATAACCATGATGGATGTCCTTGATGGATGCCTATCTTTTTCCAATATTTCATTGGACGGACGCAGAAATAATAGAATATTGTTAATGCTATTATGACCAGCCACATGCTGGTTGAAAACATTATGACTTCGACGATACTGATTTCTCTGGAATGAAAAATAAATATATTTAGGTATCGAATGGCACGATATTCACCATCACCTACACTAAAATAGTATATTGTGCAAAAAGTGGAAAAAGTGCTTTTCCCCACATAGGTGTACCGGATTCTAGCAATATCAGAAACAATAATCAAAATTATAACCTCCAAATGATTTCGAACCAAAAACATGAAAATTAGCTTCAGTTCTACATCATTATCATTATTATCATTATGATATTTTTCGTTCCCAAGAAACAAATTGACCAATATGTTTATAACAGGCAGCTATAAAAAATGCATTACATAACATATTCAATGTAGTAGGTATATTTATTATTATTTCAGTAATTCTCAGAGGTAGAACTGATCGTGGGGGAATGAATCATAGAAATAATGAATGATATATCATGGTATAAGGATCTCTACATATATGACATGACAAACTGTGTTGGCTCGGTAATCAAATGAAGGTGTACAATATCGATGTGTGAGACAAAAAAATTACTACTGGCGGTGATTATTCAAAAACAAGTTGTTCAATCAATCAGATCCCAAGAAAATGGAATATGATTCTTGCGCCAAGACTTTGAAATTCAAGTTGGCGGATCCAATATGTTGGAATAGTTTTGTAATCTTATTTCGATTCTATTCAAAATTGGTATCTATGGGTTTTCGGGGTCGGAGATCATGATTCTTTCGTCAAAATTGGTGAATTCGAGATAACTGATCCAGTATGGCAGACTAGTTTTGTAATTATGATCCAAATTCATTTGAAATTTGTATCTGCGGCGAAATAGTTTTGTGATTATGATTCGATTCTATTCAAAATTGGTATCTAGGGGTTCCCGAGGTCGGACATGATAATTCTCTCATCAAATTTGGTAAATTGAAAATGGCGGATCCAATATGACTGGACGAGTTTTGTAATCATGATCCGATCGAATCAATTCAAAATTTGTATCTGGAGGTTTACGGGCTCGTAGATTAAGATTCTCTAGTCGAAATTTTGAAATTCATGATGGCGGATGCAATATGGCGGAAGAGTTTTGTAATTATGATCTTGTTCTATTCAAAATTCTCATTAGGGGGATTTCGAGGTTGAAGGTTATGATTGTTTTGTCAGAGTTGGGAAATTCAAGATGGTGGATTCAATATATGTTGAAAGAGTTTTGTGATCATATGATCTGATTTTATTCGGAATTTGTATAGGGATTCACGATCGAGGTCGGAGATTATGACTTGTGTCCGAATTGGGAAATTTCATATGGCGAATACAATATGCGGCAAACGATTGCTGTAATCATTATCCGATTCTATCAAAAATAAATAACTGGGGATTGTCGGAGTAGGGGATTATGATACTTTCGTCAAAATTGGGGACATACAAAAAATCTGAGGATATTATAAAATACGCTCTTATCGTTAGTCGAACTGAAAATTAGAAAATAAATATAAGTTCGAAGAACTAGAGCACCACTCTTTCATAGATAGACGGACTAAAAAGAAGTAGAAACCAAAATAGTAAAAGTGTTGATAAATACACAACATAGAATATACTGATCACGGAGATTTTGATATTTTCTTCGTTGTGTATTCATCAACACACTTATATTATTTTATTTTTCACTTCATTTCAGTTCGACTATCTATTGAAGAGTGTTTCTCAAGTTTTATAAATTACTAGTTATTGAGTGATTGAATTATGTCGGTTTTCTTCAGCGAATCTATATTTATTGCTCATCAATGTAAAGAACCGAGTTTCGCGAAATTTCAAGTTGTGACTGTCTTCTTCTCAGTCATCGATATGACATATGAACCTATTTTCTTCCGAGCTATAAAATGTTGAAATTTCAAGAAACAGATATGGATTAGAGAAATTCCCACTGAACTGTCACGTTCATGAATATTTGTCAATATGAAACCGCAACGCAATCGTTTTGTCATAATTTGAATAAAGAATATAACTTCAAAAAAATTATATTCACAATTACTCAGAAATAAAAACAAATTCATGCATGGGATGTGTCAGTTTCCAGAACACATCCACACAAAATTCAATAACGTTGCTGCCAGTAGTTTCGACAGCATTGTGAGGAATGTGTAGAAAAATATTATTCTCAACACCTTGAATCACCCTGTAGATAGATCTCTCGTCGAATTCAGATTTGATCTCAATAATGGAAAACGTGATATATTATGTCTGTTTAGTTACTCTTAGTCTAAGATCCGAACCTAAATCGACCTTCACCGAGCTGATAATAGAACGAAATATATTTTATCATGAATTCAGTATATTAGAAAACATATTAAAAATGGGTTTGCTAAAAAAATCCTGGGCAGACTATTTTTAATTATTTTTCGAAAAATGATTTTTAATTAAATGTTGCAACATCAGGATAATAAAAAATTTTTGTCCTGACTGAAAGTATAAAACGAATAGAATATGCAGCCGTTGGGTTGTCTACTATTTACCAGGGCGAACTACTGGGTTGTCAGGTAAACACAGGTATATCGATGCCAGTTACTTTCACTGGATTGGATAATTAAAAAAAAATTATATCATCATAAGCGCTGTTTAATTGCGAACACGTTGAAATGATACTTCTGATGAATCTGATATTGAATAGAAAATATTTATTAGAATTTATTTTTCATCAATATTATTTTTGTATTTATACTGTTTTTTAATAAAATTTTAAATCGTAATATGTCTAGTCTATCTTTTTTGTTATTTCTCAATTTAAATTTTTGGCGGTCCACTTTGTTTCTATTTCCAGAAAGAGCAAAAAAATTTCAAAGTAAGTAATTGATATTTTTATTGTCTATTATAGATTATAGATATATTATTATGGCTATAACGTAATATATTGATATATTGTTTTTATATATTAGTATTAAGTATATCAAATATATTTAATTATTATGTAATTAATTAATTATTTTTTTTGCTACTGAAATATCAGTTGCTCCAAAATAACACGCACTGTTTACTATATGAAGGGTCGGTACCTCTACCCTCCATAGTTTACACACCGAGCATGCGCACTTGCGATGTTGGGTCCTTTATTATTACACAGTATACATTACCTCGGATCTCTCTGTCACACACTTCCACGCGCATTGAAATTAAAATCTTTAAAATTCGCAAACCCCTAATAGGACCGGAATTTTCGCAGACAACCCTATATCAACGTGTTCGCAATTAAACAGCGCTTATAATGATATAAATTTTTTTTAATTATCCAATCCAGTGAAAGTAACTGGCATCGATATACCTGTGTTTACCTGACCACCCAGTAGTTCGCCCAGGTAAATAGTAGACAACCCAACGGCTGCACATTCTATACGTTTTATACTTTCAGCCAGGACAAAATTTTTTTATTATCCTGATGTTGCAACATTTAATTAAAAATCATTTTTCGAAAAATAATTAAAAATAGTCTGCCCAGGATTTTTTTAGCGAACCCATTTTTAATATGTTTTCTAATATACTAAATTCATGATAAAATATATTTCGTTCTATTATCAGCTCGGTGAAGGTCGATTTAGGTTCGGATCTTCTACTATCTAGTTGAATTTAAATTCGAGTTACCATCAATTTCAAGATTCGAATTGGAATTTTTGATTATTATTGTGTTTGTAGAAATGGATGGATATTAATATTTCATTGAAAAGGAATATTCTCTAATCTATTCATGATCACAAAAAAAATGGTTATATATTCTAAGAAGTACATTGAGAATTCGCATTCTCCATGTGATGAAACTATTAATTCTTTCTCGGTGTATTCAACAGAAAACAACTACTTTCCTGGGTATATGCCACGACGAACATTGAATAACATCTATTGAGCACACACGATAAGAACTCGAAAACAAAATCTTCTGAAGTAGAGAATTTGCATTCTCATTCATATAAAGATATGCATATAATATCATTCTGGATATTCAACAGGAAACAATTACTTTCCTGGCTATTTGCCACGTCGAACATTGAATGTTGAATATCCAAAAAGAAAGCATGAAAAATCAGAGTCCTCTGGAATTGAGAATTGACATTATCTCTCAAACCTATATGGAAATATAACTGACCAATACGTTCAGTATCGAAATGAAAATTGAAATGTATAGGAGAAGTATTATACTTGTATGAATTCTGATCTTGATGAGTTTGGAACTTCCAATAAAATCAATCGTATCAGTGATAAGGGAATTATATATCTCTCACAAACAAGAGGAGGATACACCATGCATCAGTGCAATAAAAACATGATTACTCCGCCCCCACTTTTCATTGTTCAATATTGATTTTTTCGGAAAACAAGAAATATGGTGAGATGAAGAATTGAAATATCTAGGTTCCTCTGGAAGTAGGATTTTGAAAAAATTCACCGATATTCTGCAAAGAAATCATGAACAATGCATTTTTCGAGTATATTCAGAATTTTTTTTTGAAAAAACTAAGACGAAAACTCAAAATCTGCTTCCAGAGAAACATCCGTTCATCCGTTGTGAAGGGCCCAGTATTTTTTGTTTCAAGAAGAAAAAAATTTTGGGGGCGCGCGATTCCATGTTTTCCAACATTTCGATACCGATTCCTAGTGTCCTCACCGGAGAATGCTGAAAACTGTGTTTCAATATTGAAATACAGGCTCATTTTGCGTTTTTGAGATTTTACCATTGTGATTCAAAAAGTAGGACACATTTACCTTTGTACTTCAGCTATCTATATCATTTTTCATCATTTCTGTTTCTTCATCTTATTCCTTGGGAACTTTTATACTGTCCACAATATCCATACATTATTTAATTATATATTAAGGAGAATGCAAATTCTCTACTTCAGAAAATTTTGTTTTCAAGTTCTTATCGTGTGTGTTCAATAGATGTAATTCAATATTTGTCGTGGCATATAGCTAGGGAATTGATATTTTCATCACATGCAGGGAGAATGCGAAATCTGAATGTATTTATTTATATACAGGGTGTCCGCTTAAAGGAGG